GCCATGCCTCGGAGACGAGGCAGGGAGGGGTGACCAAGACGGTGGTGCCAGAGGAGAGTCTCGTGAGATAGGAGGCGACACGAGTAGGGGGCAGACTCAGGACCAGACCTGGACGCTGCAGCAAACACCTGACCCGACGCACCTACCTGGCTAGACGCAGGGACAGAAGGAGACCCAGTGGTCAGGGTGTAGAGGCTCGACTTCGGCCGACGCGTAAACGTGGCCAGGTGCCGGCCTGTGCGAGCGTCCGAGCAGTAGGTCACCCGCTGACTCGCAGGAGTAAACTGGTGAACCCCCGCATCCTGCAGGTCAGCACCACTCACCAAGTTCGTAGAGAAAGAGGGGAGGTAAAGACCAGACAAGGTGCCAGAGGGGGCAGCCGGACACGGGAGGACAGTGGAGAAGTGAGAGAGGACAGGACCCCCAGAGGGGTCTGCCAGGGAGACTACAACCGGCCGACCAAGCGGCGTGAGTGTGGTGCGGTCTCGAAAGAAGGAGCGAGAAGCCCCTGAGTCAAGTGTGAAGGTGAGGGAGGCCGAAGCCGACGTGGTACCTGAGAGCGCAGACTCACCAGCACCTGAGGGCGCAGACGTACTGGCACCTAGAGCAGCAGCCTCACCAGCACCTAGAGCAGCAGTACCAATGCCCGGGTCGGGCGGGAAACACCGGTAACAGTCACCCTCATCACTAATAGTCACAACATACATGGCAGCAAGGATAGCATCAAAGTCAAGATCATAGATAGCTACGCCTGCCCTAGAAAGCTCTCCCCAGCGGGGGATCTCACTGGCCTCCGGGAACTGCTGATGCCAAGCGTCCGTCAGGCGGCCAAAGCAGCGCTGGGTGGGGTGGGCACCCCCACACTGCTCACCCGCGCGATCGCCAGAGCGAAGGACGTAGGTGCACGGACCAAAACCCCCACCACGCTGACGCTGCGCGTACCACTCACGGAGCTGGTGAGGGGGGGGAATGTCCCGAGAACGCTGGTGCTGCTGCTGCTGCTGGCGCTGACCACCACCAGGGCTGCTCCGCTGCGAAGCGCCACCCCGACCACCTCCACCTCCTCCACCACCGCCTCCTCCACCTCCGCCACCACCGCCGCCTCCGCTAGCACCGCCGCCGCCTCCGCCGCCTCCGCCTCCACTGCTGCCACCGACACCTCCACCCCCGCCACCACTCCCACGGCCACCCCCACTCCCTCCGCCGCCTCCACCGCCACCTCCACCGCCCCCGCTAGCTCCATCCGCGCCCTTGCCCCCCTTGCCCTTGCCAGAGCGGCGTCTCCCGCTAGGGGCAGACGCCGCACCGACCGACTCAAGACCAACGAGGTCGGCCGCAGCGGCAGAGGCGATAGAGGGCAAACGGTGGGAAGGAGAACACCCTTCAAAGATGGGGGTGCGAGGGTCACCACGAGAGGCTCCTACAGCGACTATGCTCTTCTCCGCTGCTAGGAGGGCCTTCTCTAGGAGGTCAACAGTGAGAGTGGTGGGACAGACTGAGAGGAAGTGGTCCCTGACTACACGAAGGGAGTCAGGGAGGCGGGTGACTATATAATAGAGAGTGATGTACATGGGGGGGGGGGGGGTTCTTGGCGCAGAACTCAGCAAGGAAGCGCGGCGCGGTAGCGAGTGTCACTAGTGCGGAGGTGCGGTAATGAGGTCAGCGACTGTGGGAAAGGCTGTAAGGTCAGGGAAGAGGTACGGTAGCATGAGGCGGCTCAGTGCAGCAGTGGCAGGGGAAGAGTTACGCGCAACTACAGCGTCGTACAAGGTCTGAGCACTCTTGTACTGACTAAAGTGTGCGCGCTCAGTCGTAGGGAGGTGGCGACGCACAGCAAGACGTGCAGCAGCATCGCGCGTGGTCCACTGGGAGCGAACAGTGAGGTCAGCATCAGCAGCAGGGGCAGGAGAGGCGCCAGAGGTGAGGTCAAAGAGAGAGAGACCGTCTGCCCTATCGCACTGTAAGAACAGCTGCAGGTCGTCGACCCAGACCTCAAAGTCAATGGCTCGACCCTCAGCGTCAAACGTGAGGACACTAGGGGTAGCCATGACAACAGTAGACTAGCAGTACCAACTGTAGGACAGGGGCAGTGCAGTGTCAGAAGCGCTGCTCTCACAAGACAGGGCGGTTCGGGCAGCTCAGTAGCACAGCAACACGGCAACACGGCTGCTCGGACAGCTCAGCAGCAACTGCGGCTCCGCGGCACCAGCGGCTCGGCTCCTCAGGCGGTTCGGGCGGGTCGGGCGGCTCGGGCGGGTCGGGCGGCTCGGGCGGCTCGGCTCCTCAGCGGCTCAGGCGGCTCGGGCGGCTCGGGCAGGTCGGGCGGCTCGGGCGGCTCGGGCGGCTCGGCTCCTCAGCGGCTCAGGCGGCTCGGGCGGCTCGGGCGGCTCGGGCGGCTCGGGTGGCGCGGGCGGTGTAGGGCGGTAGGGCCGCTCGTAGAGCGGCGGGGCCGCAAGGTAGGTGGTGGGGCCGCAGTGGAAGGGGCGGCGGGGCCGAAGTGAAGGGCGGCGGGGCCGCCGTGAAGGGCGGCGAGGCCGCTGAGAAGGGCGGCGGGGCCGTAGTGAGAGAGGCGGCGGGGCCGCAGAGAAGGGCGGCGGGGCCGCTGAGAAGGGCGGCGGGGCCGCAGTGAGAGAGGCGGCGGGGCCGCAGCGAATGGCGGCGGGGCCGCTGAGACGGGCGGCGGGGCTGCAGCGAAGGGCGGCGGGGCCTCAGTGTGAGGCGGCGTGGCCGCAGGGAAGGGCGGCGGGGCTGCAATGTGAGGCGGCGGGGCCACAGCAAAGGGCGGCGGGGCCGCAGCGAAGGTCGGCGGGGCCGCTGAGACGGGCGGCGGGGCCGCAGCGAAGGGCGGCGGGGCCGCTGAGAAGGGCGGCGGGGCCGCAGCGAGAGAGGCTGCGGGGCCGCAGCAAAGGGCGGCGGGGCCGCAGTGAAGGGCGGCGGGGCCGCAGTGAAGGGCTGCGGGGCCGCAGCGAAGGGCGGCGGAGGCGCAGCGAAGGGCGGCGGGGCCGCAGCGAAGGGCGGCGGGGCCGAATCGATGGGCTGCGGGGCCGCTAGGGCGTTGGGGCCGCTAGGGCGGCTCGACGAAGTGAGAGCCCGTAGCGCGACTCGGGCTGAGCGCGCTTCGGGCAGGAAAAAAAAACTCGATGTGGTGGGCCCTAGGCACAGTTCCCACGGGGGAACCTGCTCGATACCATGAGGAAATTAGAACGAGAATGAATGACTATGGAATGAAAGTGATACAAATATGCAACCCTAGAAATGTGTACCCCATATGGGCTACCCCACTAAAGCCTAGACAACATTATAATTTGACATGATTTGGATGCAATATTTGCCGATGTCGAAGAACGGTTCAATGAAGAAGACATGCGTTCCAAAAACGTGAAGCAAGCTACAAAGCGATTTGACGAAGCTTCTAAAGAAGGTCCAACCTTCGCATGCGACAGTTGCGACAAGTTAATGTTCAGACGTCAATTATTCAAATTGGAAAGTATCAACTTTCCCGAATTGAGAAACTTCTGTAACAGTTGTAAAAAGGAGATTATGAACCAAAGAACCCCTATTCTCTCTCGAATTGCTGGTGCAGTGTTACCGAAGCGTAATGAAGCACTAACTGGATTGTCAATGTTGGACGAGCGGTTAGTTTCACCACGTGTTGTGTTTTCAAGCATTACACAAGGCCACGTGGGAAAACAATGTCAGAATCCCAACCACTAGACCATTGGGATAAAAGGACTTGTTTCAGTAGCGGGTCAGTGCGCCCATAACCCCCCAGGCGAACGCGCCTGTAACCCTCTCCAGGATCAATCGGGCATTCACAGTGCAGATCTACTGACACCCCCCCACACTGGGAGGCCCAGGACTAAGCACAGCGGCAACGGCCTACATGTGCATACACCGGGAATCGAACCCGAGACCGCTCTGATACCATGTCAGAATCCCAACCACTAGACCATTGGGATAGAAGGGCTTGTTTCAGTAGCGGGTCAGTGTGCCCATAACCCCCCAGGCGAACGCGCCTGTAACCCTCTCCAGGATCAATCGGGCATCCACAGTGCAGATCTGCTGACCACCCCCACACTGGGAGGCCCAGGACTAAGCACAGCGGCAACGGCCTACATGTGCATACACCGGGAATCGAACCCGAGACCGGTCTGATTCCATGTCAGAATCCCAACCACTAGACCATTGGGATAAAAGGGCTTGTTTCAGTAGCGGGTCAGTGCGCCCATAACCCCCCAGGCGAACGCGCCTGTAACCCTCTCCAGGATCAATCAGGCATCCACAGTGCAGATCTGCTGACAACTTAGGGTCTTATTCACAGCTTAGGGTCTTATTCACAGCTTAGGGTCTTATTCACAGCTTAGGGTCTTATTCACAGCTTAGGCTCTTATTCACAGCTTAGGCTCTTATTGACAGCTTAGGCTCTTATTGACAGCTCAGGGTCTTAGCTCAGGGTCTTATTGACAGCTCAGGGTCTTATTGACACCTCAGGGTTTTATTGACAGCTTAGGGTCTTATTGACAGCTTAAGGTCTTATTGACAGCTTAGGGTCTTATTGACAGCTTAGGGTCTTATTGACAGCTTAGGGTCTTATTGACAGCTTAGGGTCTTATTGACAGCTTAGGGTCTTATTGACAGCTTAGGGTCTTATTGACAGCTTAGGGTCTTATTGACAGCTTAGGGTCTTATTGACAGCTTAGGGTCTTATTGACAGCTGAGCCAAGTAACTTCTCGGACCTTCAGAACTCTCGTGTCCTCTTTTTATGACAACAGTCCCATTCATTAACACTCATCGACATTCGTTTTACACCCATCCACATTCATTTTCACTCACCCACAATCATTTACACTCATCCACATGAATTAACACACAATCGTTACACTTATCCACATGGATTAGCGTAAATCTACATATAATTACACTAATCCACATCCACAATAATTTGCACTCATCCACATTCAGTCATCTGCTGTCACTCCACCCCCCTCCCCTCCTCCCCATGGCATGCCAGGTGTCGCTCATGGGCGGCAGCATTGGGTTGCTCAGCACAGAGGGTCACGGCACCACCCTGCACATCGCTCTGCCCATACCTGTTGCTGCTGCCACTGCTGCCCCAGCTGTGTGTGGTGACTCCTCTTCGGCCAGCGCAGATCTTTCTGGGCCGGTGGCGGCTTGTGCTGCGTCTTCCTCTGCTGCTATGAGGGATGACACAACTTTCCCACAGGCAGTGGAGACAACGAGTGTGAAGGATAGATTGGAGGAGTTGCTGCAAGGCAAGGCGATTCTGGTGAGAAGTAGGACGTCGGGATTTGAGGGAACAGCTTAGACCGACCGGAATCTCGTGTGTGTTGTGGACGACAAAGTGATCAGAGCATGCCTTCTCTGTTTCCGTCTCTTATATGTTATGTTATCACCTCGCTCTGCCTGTGCAGCTGGTGGACGACAACCTGCTCAACCGCTTTGTACCCCCTTGTACCTCTCAACCCCCCTGTACCCCCCTATATCCACCAGGTGGTGGACGACAACTCCATCAACCAGCGGGGGGCATGCCATTTCCGTCCTTCCGTTCTCATCCAATTCGGGGCTCTATCAGATTTACCCCCTGTGTTGTGCAGGTGTTGGACGACAGCGCCATCAGCCGTTCTCAGCCCCTCTGCACCCCTCCCTGTGCCCTCTCTATGCACCAGGTGGTGGACGACAACTTGATCAACCGTCTCTCATATGTTCTCTCTCTGTCAATCCTCCCTCTCTATCCATCCACCAGGAGGTGGACGACAATTTGATGAACCGCCCTTCCGCTATCATCCCCTCACAAACCTCAGATCCTCCCTGCCTCTATGCAACAGGTGGTGGACAACATCGCCATCAACCGCAGGCCATCTCTGTCCATCCATGCTCATCCCCTCTCTCACACCCGTCCCTGTACCCCCTGTGCCCCCAGGTGGTGGATGACAACGTGATCAACCGGCGGGTGGCAGCAGCGGGTAACGCCATTTTCATTCATTCATTTCACCCCCCCTGTGCTGCACCAGGTGGTGGACGGCAATCTGATCAACCGGCGGGTGGCAGCGAGCACGCTGGCGCGGTACGGGGCGGAGGTGGCGCTGGCAGAGTCGGGCGAGGCGGCGCTGCGCCTGCTGCAGGCAACCCACTCCTTCCGCCTCGTGCTCATGGACCTCCTCATGCCCGGCCTTGATGGCTTTCAAACTACTGCCCGCCTGCGCGCCTTTGAGTCCCAAGCCCACACTGCTCAAGGGGGGGTACAGGGGGGGCAGGGAACAGAGGAGTCGCAGTGCATTCCAGAGGTGGGGGAGAATGCGGCAGAGGGTAGTGAAGGGGGCTGGCAGTGTCAGCAGCGCGTTCATGTGGTGGCCATGTCAGCAGATGTGGACGGCAGTGTTGCAGCCCGTGCTACAGAGGCTTGCATGGATGGTGCCGTGCAAAAGCCACTCAATGAGAGAATGCTGCTGCAGGTGCTTTCAACACTGAATGGTTTGTAAGTCTCCATTCATGTAGTTTGTGTCACTAACCTGGCTTGCATGTGTCAGACTACCTCAAAACGAATCTAGGGGCCTGATATGTACGGTTTTCTAATGTCTAATTTATTCATTTGTTTATATCTTATGGTTTCTATGGAGGGCACGAGGCGTACAACAATGTGAGAATAGTAAGCATAGTGAGGAGCCATAGCTAGGGTTAGCTAGCTAGGCAAGAGATAAATGAAGAAAGGAGGGGTTTCACTAGCAGCAGTTGGGATACAAATAGTAAACCCTAACAGGGTTGTACTCGCTATAGAGCACCCCACTACAGGCTAGATAATAACATTCTGACACACCCCCATAGCCAAAGTGGGGTGTAATCAGCAGAGCACACAGTCATAGAGCAGGTTCACAATGGCAAGCAAAGCTAGAGGCTATCACAGAGGGCAAGTGAGGAGGAGAGTACTGTGGACGGAGAGAAGATGGGAGGCAATGACTGAAGCTGCAGAGGCACGGGCATAGGAGCGGCTGACTCAGTGGCTACCGAAGCAAGGGCGACGGACTACTGGAGTGACTGGCTCCGCGGCTAAGACGAGCGGCAGGAGCAACGGATCCACTGGCGACTGGTGCAACAGGCTCACTAGCTACCGAAGCAAGGGCGACGGACTACAGGCGCTGCAGGCGACATGACAGCTACCTCCACACAACCTCCTCCAACTGACCCACACCCTTGACACACACCCCCTGCTGAACCCCTAACCCCACTCCCACATCACCCCCCTAGCACCACTCCTTCGGCTCCCACACACCCACCCCCCTGAGCGGCAGCTGCAGTAGGGTGAGACGGAGGAGGAGGAGCAGGGGACGGCGCACACAGCCGGCACCCCCACAACCGTCCCCCCCACACTCCCCACCCCCAAACCCTAAAGCGGGTGGCACGGGGTAGGAGCGCGGGGGACGGCGAGGAGGACGGCGCGCGGCCCCCAGGGCGCCACCACGGGGTAGCGAGGGGCCGCGCGTGGCTCCCCAGGGCGCCGCGACGTGAAGGGCGGGGGCCGCGCGTGCTCCCCAGAGCGCCACCACGGGGCAGCGAGGGGCCGCACGCGGCTCCCCAGGGCGCCGCGACGTGAAGGGTGGGGGGCCGCGCGTGCTCCCCAGGGCGCCGCGACGAGCAGGGCGGGGGCCGCGCGTGCTCCCCAGGGCGCCGCCACGAGCAGGGCTTTTTTTACCTACACTGGAAAATCAGTGTTGAGATTTCTGTGGGACTGATCTTTCAGCCGTTTTTGTTAGGCCACACTGAAATTTCATTTTTTTTTTTCCCAAGTACACTGATCCCACAGGGTTGTAATGAACACTGAAAGCAATTCAGATTCTTACATGTTCTGTGTGGATTTGCCCGCAATTACAAGGATTCTCAGATTACTGTGGTGCCAGCACTCCATTGGGCACTTGCTAATCAGAATGTGGCAACCATGTGGAGATGGAGGGCTGCGAGGGTTTCTACACCGTTGGCTGTGCTGGCAAGCACTGATGCTCCCATTCCCTCCAATGCAATCTCTCTTGTTTCTTTTCCTCATGTTTCTCTCTCCCAAAACGGCCCTTAGTGACGTGTAAACGCACCCAATCATTGGTCACCACACAAGTTTTCGGATATCTTGGAGCATGGAAGCCAATGAGACGTGTACATTGCTACCAAAGTGTTCAAACTTCGAATGGACCACGCATTTCCGCAACCAGCAAAACCCCACTTTTAATTTATTTTCACTCGAAGAGACTCACGCCCCTTAGCGTAATAGGAGCCACTGTCCTCGTGCTCTTTCGCAAGCGCATGCAGCCACGACTGCACCTAGCACCTAAACCGGCCGACGTCCTTTGACATGGGAGACCGCATTGAACCTCATGCAGGAGCGCCGGACATGTGGCACGCGAGGCTTGCGCACGTCGACGTCGACGCGATAAAGAGCTCGGCGAAGCACGAGGTTGTTGCCGGCCTGGACATCAAGCCATCTGTCAGCGCCGACCTGCCGTGTGTCTCCTACGTCAGCGGCAAGCTGGCGCGGCAAACCTTCCCCGAGAAAGGCTCGGACGCCGAGGAAGTTCTGGCCGCCGAGCACATCGACTCGTGTGGGACGTTTCAAGTGGCCGCCAAGGATGGCAGCCTCTACTTCCTTCTGCTGAAGACCACAAAATATGCTACGTGTGGGTGAGGCTGGTCGCCAAGAAGAGTGACATGCTGCTGGTGTTCTAGAAATGGCTGTCGGTGGTGGAGCGACTTAACAAGAAGTCGGTGTTCATGCTCCCCTCTGCGGTGGTGAGTTTCTTAAAAAGGCTTTCACAAACTTCGTCAACGGAATAACGATCCTTCACAACCTGTCCTGCCCGTACACTCCGCTGCAGAACGACATGGTGGAGTGGAGATGCGTACGATCGTTGAGGCCGTGCGGACGATGCTGCTTCACATGGGCGTGAAGCATGACTGATGGCACCTTGCCCTGCAACAGGCCATCTAGGTGTGCAACCAAGGACGACGCCGCACCAATTGCTGACCGACAAGAAGCCCGCCCTCACCCTGGCTCACGTATGGGGCTGCATGGTGCAGCTCATGGTGCCCGAGAAGTAGCGCGGTGGGAAGCTGGCACTGAACGCCCGGTGGGGTCTCCACCTGAGTATGTCGCTGGCGAGCAAGGACTGGGAGGTGCTCGACTTGACAGACAACAAGGTGGTTACCACGGTTGAGGTGATCTTCTACAAGACTCTGTACAGCGGTAGTGAGCTAGACAACGGGGGTTGGCACGAACTACTAGGAGTGATCGTAGCTTTGCCTTATTCCTGTCAAAATAGTAGCTAAGGCTAAGAAGCCATGGCTAGGTTTAGGGTACACGAAAGAGAAATGAAAGAAGAGAAGTGATGTGTTCACTATAGGCTCAAGGGTACATATAGCAAACAAAGCTAGCAAGGTGCACCACTAACAATGTAACACTACACTAACTATTGCTACAAGCAGTTTATATAAGAAATGTATTTCAACACACCCCCTAAACTGCTTGCAGCAGGAAGCCAATGCAAAGACACCCCCTGAAGGGGTACACCAAGCGCAGCAGAAGGAGAGAGCAAGTGAGGAGGAGGCGGGACTGTGAGAGGAGTGGAGATAGGAGGCGACGGGTGAAGCCGCAGACACACGGGCAACAGGAGAGGCGCGCACAGTGGCTACCGGAGCAAGGGCCCCGGTCTACAGGAGTAACTGGCTCCGCAGCTAAGACGAGCGGCAGGAGCAACGGACCCACAGGCGACTGGCGCAGCGACTGGCTCGCTGGGCTACCGGAGCAAGGGCCCCGGACTACTGGCGCTGCTGACGACACGACGGCTGCCTCCGCTCAACCTCCCCCACTTGTCCCACACTCATCACCCCCACACCCACCACCCCCATACCCATCACCCCCACACCCGCCACCCCCATACACGTCACCCCCATACCCTGAGTGTGCGGTAAGCGAGCTCAGGTGTGCGCGAAGCGTGCACAAGCGTGCGAGGAGCGAACTCGGGTGTGCGGTAAGCTAACTCAGGTGTGCGGGGAGGGGGGCCGCAGGGCGACACGCGGGTCCACGAAGCGGCGCACGGGTCCCACGGGGTGGCGCGCCGGGATGGCAAAGGGCCGCGCGCGGGTCCCTAGGGCGACGCAACGGGATCGCGGGGGGCGCACGCGGGTCCCCAGGGGCGACGCGACGGTCGACGGGGTGGACGCGCGGTTCTCCGGGGGCGGTGCGATGGTCGACGACGAGGGATGCGCGGGTCCCTGGGTGACACGACGGTCGACGGGGAGGGACCCGCGGGTCCTCGGGGTGACGCGTGAGGCAGAAAACCGCCGTGCGCCCCGAGCCGCGGTGGGCAGAAAAACGCCATGCGCCCCGAGCACGTGGCGGGAAGAAAATAAACGTCGCACGCCACGGGGCGCGCGACAGACAGGATAGCAGCGGAAGCAGGTGGGCCCACAGGCCAGGAGCGTACTAGCTCTGATAGCATGTTAAGAATCTAGCGAGGCTTAGGGTTTGCACTTGGTGCTTGGTGCTTGCATAATCACAGAAGAAATCGGCAAGAGTTTCCACTAGCAAAGTCGAAAATTAGTTGAACAAGCAATGACAACAATGACTACATCAGGCACCTAGCAACCCTGCAGCTAGCCTAGTCGACCGCCACCACAGCTTGGTCGACCGCCTGCCAGCGTTGCGTAGAGGAGCCGCGCCAGCACTGCACCACGGCGACCTTCCAACAGTGCAGGTCGACGGCGTGCCAGCGCTGCAGCAATGCGGCTGTCCAGCGTTGCACCCGTAGATGGCAGCAGTGCGCACGCTCGCAGGTGCGCGCAAACGATTGGCCCGACTTGCATCGTTGTGCATCCATCGGCTGTTGTCTGCGCCTGACGAGCCACATCGACTTCGTGATACCAGCCCGAAGTCGCCTTCGCCATCGCGACCTTGACGACATTCGCATGTCTCCGCAGAACTCGTCGGGCAGGTTACCCGGTCGACCTGGTCGACCACCAGGTGCTTCCGGTCGACCACAACTGCCTTTGGTCGACCACCAGGTGCCTTTGGTCGACCACCAGGTGGCTGTGGTCAACCACAGCTTCTGTCAAGCTACCCCCTGGTCGACGGACCCCTTCCATTGACCAGAACCGTCAGCGGTTGTTGCTGAGCTCCCCTTGTCGACCGCTGCTCACTTGCAGGTCGATAGACTGCTCCGTCGACCTCCCGGTCGAACTGCAGGTTGACTGAGTGAATCGTCGACCCCTCGGTCGAACTGCCCCTCCTGGTCAACGGCCCACCAGTCGCCCAGACCAGTCAGTTGCGGCTGTCATTTCTGTAGGCTTTAGGCTGTAGTGGGGCACTTCTTATGGGGTACAGTACTATTAGGTTTTGCCTATACAAACCTTGTACTCTCCTGTTTCTAGCCATTCTCGTTTCCTACTTTGTGAATGGTTTCAGAGCAGGTTCCCTAGTGGGAACGTTTTTTTTTTAAGGGCCCACCGTGCTAGTTTTTTTTTTTACTGCCCTGCCCGAAGCGCGCGTCGTGCCTGCCTCGCCTGCGCCGTCGTGCGCTCTGCCTTAGTGCCGCCCTTAGCGGCCCTGCCCTTGCGGCCCGTCGCGCCCTTACCCCAACGGCCCGTCGAGGCCCTTTTCTCGCCGCCGCGGCCCGTCCTAGCCGTAGTCGCCGCCCTTAGTGGCCCGCCTCAGCCGTTGACGCGGCCGTGCCCTACCCGCCTGCTGCGGCCTGCCCTCGCTACCCGCACGGCCCTGCCCTGCCGCCTCTCGTTGCGGCCCTGCTTTGCCGCGGCCTCGACGCGGCCCTCCCCTGCAGCCGCCGTGAAGCGGCCCTGCCCTACTGCCGCCCAGTCGCGGCCCTGCTCTCCCGCCGCCTAGTCGCGGCCCTGCCCTGCCGCCTCATTGCGGCCCCTGCCCTGCCAGTCGTGGCCCTGCTCTGCGGGCTCGTTGCGGCCCTGCTCTGCCGGCTCATCGCGGCCCCTGCCCTGCCAGTCGCGGCCCTGCCCTACTCCCTCCCCTGGAAAGCGCACCAACACACCCGCGCCAACCTGCCGAGCGCGCGTCGCGCCTGCCTCGCCTGCGCCGTCGCGCGCTCTGCCTTAGTGCCGCCCTTAGCGGCCCTGCCCTTGCGGCCCGTCGCGCCCTTACCCTAACGGCCCGTCGAGGCCCTATTCTCGCCGCCGCGGCCCGTCCTAGCCGTAGTCGCCGCCCTTAGCGGCCCGCCTCAGCCGTCGTCGCAGCCCTGCCCTACCCACCTGCTGCGGCCTGCTCTCGCTACCCGCACGGCCCTGCCCTGCCGCCTCTCGTTGCGGCCCTGCTTTGCCGCGGCCTCGACGCGGCCCTCCCCTGCAGCCGCCGTGAAGCGGCCCTGCCCTACTGCCACCCGGTCGCGGCCCTGCTCTCCCGCCGCCTAGTCGCGGCCCTGCCCTGCCGCCTCATTGCGGCCCTTGCCCTGCCAGTCGCGGTCCTGCTCTGCCGGCTCGTCGCGGCCCTGCTCTGCCGGCTCGTCGCGGCCCCTGCCCTGCCAGTCGCGGCCCTGCCCTACTCCCTCCCCTAGTAAGCGCATCAACCCACCCGCACCAACCTGCCGAGCCGCGTCGCCCTGCCGAGCCGCGCCGCCCTGCCGAGCCACGCCGCCCTGCCGAGCCGCGTTGCCGTGCCGAGCCGCGCCGCCCTGCCGAGCCGCGCCGCCCTACTGAACTGCTACTGCTACTGCTACTTCTGCTGCTGCAACTAATTCTCCTACTACTGCCGCCATGGCTAACCCTAGTGTTCTTACCTTCGATGCTGAAGGTCGAGCGGTTGATTTCGAGGTCTGGGTCGATGAACTGCAGCTCTTTGTGCAGTGCGACTCTAGGGACGGAGTCTCACTGTTCGATCACACGTCCGGCGTCTCTGTTGCACCTGCTGCCGTTGCTGACAGTGCAGTTCGCTCGCAGTGGACCACGCGTGATGCTGCTGCTCGTCTTGCTGTTTGTAGTCACCTGCCGTCAGCTGAGCGCGCGCAATTTAGCCAGTACAAGACTGCTAAGACTCTGTATGACGCTGTTGTTGCGCACTACTCCTCCCCTACCTCTGCTGCCCTCAGCCGCCTCATGCTGCTGTACCTGTTTCCTGACCTTGCCGCTTTTGCCACAGTTGCTGACCTCATTAGCCACCTCCGCACCAGTGACACCCGCTACCGCGCTGCGCATCCTGCCAAGTTCTGCGCCAAGAACCCCCCCCTTATGTACATCACCCTCAACTACCTCGTCACCCGACTCCCTGAGTCCCTTCGCCCAGTCAGGGACCACTTCCTCTCCCTTTGCCCCACCACACTCACCGTTGACCTCCTCGAGGAGCACCTCCTTGCAGCTGAGAAGAGTATAGACGCTGTAGGAGCCTCTCGTGGTGACCCTCGTGCCCCTTTCTTTGAGGGGTGCTCCCCTGTCCCCCTTTTGCCCTCTGTTGCCACTGCTGCTGCTTTTGACCTCGTTGGCACCGAGTCGGTCGGAGCTGCGTCTGCTCCTAGTGGGAGACGCCGCAGCGGTAAGGGCAAGGGGGGCAAGGGTTGTGAAGGGGATGGCGGGTGAGGCGGTGGTGGCGGCGGTGGTGGCGGTGGAGGAGGTGGAGGGGGTGGGGGTGGAGGTGGGGGTGGCGGCGGGAGTGGGGGCTTCGGTGGCGGTGGTGGAGGTGGAGGCGGCGACGGCAGCGGCAGTGGGGGTGGAGGCGGCGACGGCAGCGGCAGTGGGGGTGGAGGCGGCGGTGGTGCTAGTCGAGGTGGAGCTGTGCAGCGGGGAGGCTTTGGCCGTGGCCCGCGCCAGCAGCAGCAGCGCTCTCGTGAGACCTCGTCGCCCCAGCAGCTTCGTGAGTGGTACGCTGGGCATGGGAGGTCTGGGGGTGCTGGTCACTGCGCTTACATTCTACACACCGATGAGCGCAGCGGGGAGACGTGCGGGCTGCCGCACGCTACCCACCGCTGCTTTGGCCGTCTGACTAACGCTTGGCGTGCACAGTTTCCTGACGCCACTGATTTGCTTAGGTCGGGGGTTGCTATCTTTGATCTTAATTATGATGCTATCTTTGCTGCTATGTATGTTGTGACTATTAGTGCTGAGGGTGACTGTTACCTTTGTGTTCCGCCCGACCAAGGCATTGAGACTGCTTCTCTAGGTGCTAGCAAGTCTGCCGCTCCAGGTGCTGGTGAGGCTGCTCTCTCAGGTACCGCGTCGGCTCAGGTCTTGCACACTTTCACCCTTGACTCAGGTGCTTCCCGTTCCTTCTTTCGCGACTGCACCACACTCACGCCGCTCAGCCGGCCAGTGGCAGTCTCCCTGGCTGACCCCTCTAAGGGTCCGGTCCTTGCGCACTTCTCCACAGTTTTGCCGTGTCAGGCGGTCCCGTCTGGCTCCCTGTCCGGTCTCCACCTCCCCCCGTTCTCCACGAACTTGGTGAGTGGAGCTGATCTTCAGGACATGTGGGTTGACCAGTTCACTCCTGGAGGTCAGCGGGTGATCCACTGTACGTGTACACGGACGGGCTGGCACCTGGCCTTGTTTACTCATCAGCCTGTACACCCTGACTACCGTGTCTCCCCCAGTTACTGCGTCTGGTCAGGTGTTTGCTGCAGCGTCCCGGTCTGATCCTGAGTCTGCCCCCTGCTCGTGTCGCCTCCTGTCTCACCAGTGTCAACGGGAGTGTTGTGTGGCCCCGTCCTCGCTTGGGCAGAGCCGACCTCGTGGTCGGATGTGTGGGAGTTGCAGCCAACCTGCAGCAGTGGGCATGGGGGCCACTACAGGAGCGCCGAGCTGGAGGGCGCCTGGCTGGAGGGCGCCGAGCAGAAGGACACCGCCGTGGACGCCTGGTTGGCGTCCCGGACGCCTGGCCGGCGTCCTGGGAAGCTGGACGCCGAGCTGGGCGTCGCCACGACTACCCCGGCTCCTGGTCAACGTCGTGGGCGCCTGCACGGCGTCCTGGAAGGCCAGACGCCGACCTAGGCGTCTACACAGCGAGCCTAGGAGTCTGGGACGCCGCACTGGGCGTCTGCACGGCGTCCTGGGGGCCCGGACGCCGACCTGGGCGTCCTGGGGGGCCCGGACACCGACTTGGGCGTCTGGTCGGCGTCCTGGGAGGCTGGACGCCCCTCTGGAGGTTTGCTCGGCGTCCTGGGCGTCTGGACGCCGACCTGGGGGTTCGGAAGGTTTCCTGGGCGCCTAGATGGCGGACTGGGGACGCTGGGCATTGGTGGCCGGCTGCGAACTGTATTGGTTGACCGGGCGTGGTTGCCCGATCGACCGGGATACCCGGGCGACGTGCGCGAGTGTCGCCAGGGTGGAGTCTGCGAGGCCGACCTCGGGGGTGGTATCCCGAGGTTGACGTGGCTGGCGGGCGCAGTCGCTGGTGTGGAGTCTGCCAGGCGTCTGCGCTCGGCACGTGACAAGGAAGTGCGCACCAACCAGCTGCGCGCACCTGCGAAGCACGTGCACCGTTGTCCTGCGAGTGCAACGCTGTGCAGCCGACTTGCTGCAGCGTTGGCACCCCGTGGACTGCAACGTTGGCGAACCGCTACTTTGCAACGCTGAAGCGGTGCGAGCGCTGCTGCGCTGGAGCGCGGTCGACCGTGCTGCGCTGGAGGTCGACCATAAGCCTAGCTAGCTCTGATGTAGTCAATGCTGCCAATGTTGTTGCAATCATTATTGTCATATTTTCCAAGTGAAACTCTTGCCAATTCTCCCCGTGAACTAGCAAACAGCGTGAACACAATGAAACGAACGCAGAGATCACACGAGCACCCGTGCCTAGCCCGTAGTCTAGCTCCCTTTGCAGCAGTTATCTCCGCAACCAGACTCTCCACTGGCACCACTGCCTTGGTCACCCCTCCCTGCCTCGTCTCTGAGGCATGGCCTCTCGTGTCCTTGTTACTGGTCTTCCCCGGTCACTCCCTCCCCTTCCCCCGGGGCCTGCCCCTATTTGCGTTCCTTGCGTTGAGGGGCGGCAGCGCGCCGCTCCTCACTCCTCCGAGCTCCCTCCTACGGAGGCTCCCCTGCAGACTCTCCACATCAAAATGGGATTGTTGTGTGCCGCATTGGCATGGTCATGGATGTCGCTCGTGTTATGTGATGCTATCACTTGCATTCACGTCTCTCTGCCTCCCATCACATGTTCGTGCGTTACATGCGTGGTGTGAGCGTGTGCAAGAATTTGTGTTCGATGTGGTTTGGTGAATGTGTGTGTGAATGTTATTTGGCTTGGGCAGATATCTGAAGTGACTCCTCTGCTCAAGAGCTTTCCGACGAACCAAGTATCGCTTCAATCGGAGCACGAACAAGAAAGTTACGAAAGTTGGAAGTTCGTATGCTTTTGATATTTGGTTGTGGTGACTATGGGAAGTTGTGGGGTTGACTCCATAAGGGGTATAGACTTTTGGGGGTTGGGAAATTCGTCAACATCACTGTAGATGCTGCCAATTGAGAAAACTGAAACGAGGATGAATGAACTATGAACGAAATGAGTACAAGTACTAACCCTAATTGGGTTGTACCCCTTATGGGCTACCCCACTATAGCCTACACAATAAGCACAAGCTATATGTTCTGACACACCCCCATTGGCAAAGTGGGGGAGAACAAGGGGTCACAAGACCAGTCAAGCAAAGCAAAGCAAAGCAAGCTCAGGGTGGATCACAAAGTCACCACACATTCTGAGCACAAGTTCAAGGCCACAAGGCCAGTTCACATGCAGGAGTACATATATATATATAAAAGGCTAGACAAGCAAGAGCAGGTATATATATATGTAACAGTAAAAGCAAGGTCAAGAGGTGAGCAAGTGAGGCAAGACAGGCACAAGACCCAGCTGCGTGCAGAAGCGCTGATGATCACAAGGCGCAAGTGCCTTGGTGAAGACATCAGCAGTGTTGGCCTCAGAGGCCACGTACGAAAGCCGCAACTGACCACGCTGCAGTAGCTCACGAGCAAGGAAGTAGCGAAGAGCAATGTGCTTTGTTCTGTGCTCCAGTCTCTGCTCTCGACACAAGGCCAGCATGGCCTTGTTGTCTACGTACAGCACTGGAGGAGAACGAGGCGACTCTCCGAGGTCGGTCAGCAGGTAGGTGAGCCAGCGAAGCTCCTGTGCAGCCATGGCCCCGGCGTAGATCTCAGCCTCACAACTGGAGCCGAGAACAGAAGACGAGCGAGTAGCCCGCCACGAGACAGAGCTGGAACCAAGGCTGAAGGTGTAACCCTGTGACAACCGCTGCGTAGCCTGATCGTCAGCCCAAGAAGCGTCTGCGTGCCCAGTGAGGACCACTAGACTGCGCCCTTTAAGCACTAGCCCCATGCCCAACGTACTGCACAAGTAGCGCAACACCCTCTTCGCTGCAGCCATGTGCTCTTGTCGGTGTCTCCCGGGAGCAACATAGGGTGCGAGAATGCTAAGAGGGTATGCAAGGTCAGGTCGTGTGCAGGTCATCAGGTACATGAGGCTGCCAACAAGCTCTAGATACGGGCCACTCGACTCTACGGACTCATCCGAAGGCAGAGCTGAGAGCGAGTGGCGAGTAGGCAGAGGAGTGGCCTGAGGCGAGGAGTACGTGAAGCCGAAGCGCTGAAGGACCTGCTGCACCATGTGTGACTGAGTCAGGGTAATGGTGCGGCGTGCTCTGTCCCGGGTGATCTGCAAGCCAAGGTAGCTGCGCAGTTCACCCAGGTCTGTGCACGTGTGTCTCTTCTGCAGCTCGGACTTCACGTAGACGAGTCCAGCAGTGTCAGCTGTGGCAAAGACCAAGTCGTCGACGTACACGAGGATGTAGAACGGCGGCAGAGAGGTGTCGGTGCGCAGAAACAACGACGGGTCAGCAGTAGAAGGAGCAAACCCAAGAGCCGTAAGCGTAGTCCTTAGTGTGTCGTGCCACTCACGTGGCGCCTGGCGGAGACCGTAGACTCGACGCCGGAGACTCCACTGGGTACCAGGAGGGAAAGACCCAGTGAAGCCAGGTGGGCGGCGCAGCCAGATCTCCTCGTGCAGGCTGCCCTGCAAGAAAGCTGTGCTGAAGTCGAGAGAGTGCAGCTCGTAGTCACGGTGAGCAGCAACGTGCAGCAGTACCCGAAGAGTGGTCATCTTCGGGGTGGGAGAGAAGGTCTGAAAGTAGTCAACTCCCTGCCGCTGACTAAAGCCACGAGCCACGTAACGCGCCTTGAAGACAAGCGGAGAACCCGGCGGCCGCTTCACCCTGAAGATCCACATGCCACTGACGATGTTCGCCCCAGGAGGGGGGACAGCGTCAACGTAGGTGCCTGTGGACTTCCAGGAAGACATCTCTGCATCCATAGCTGCTTGCCACTGAGAAGATTAGGGACCCTCTATCGCCTCCGCGTAAGAGTGCGGAGTCGGGATGTGAAGTGCATCCGGGTCTCCCTCAGGGGTAAGCAGTACGGACACGAGATGAGGTGAAGCAACGGCCAAGCACTGGAACTCCTCCTGCCTGTCCTCAAGGACGTCCGTGCCAAGGGCACACTCACCCCCGACGGACGGAGGACAGACAGACTAAGACTCAGCAACAAGACTGGCGGCGTAGTCTAGACGACAGCGAGCAGCAAAGTCGACGAGCTCAGCAACTAGGGCAGACGCAGCAGTGGACTCAAAGGAAGGGTCAGTGACAACAGTAGCAAGGAGACGCGTGACAGTAGGACTGGCAGCACAAAGAGAGTCCGACTACGGGTCGACAAGAGCAGGAAGAGAAGACTAAGGAGGAGAAGGCAAAGGGGCACGCAGAGGAGCAGTAGACGGACGTAGAGACATCCGGTGCGTGCCAGGGTCAGGAGGAGGACGCTGACGCGAACCACGACCACTAGCGCGAGCAGTACGGACAGGCGACGCAGGGCGAGACGCAGGCTCACGACGCTCAGCAAGACCTCCAGTAGGACCAGTGTAGGGAGACGGAGCAGGCAGTGGCGAGGCCGGCTGTAACCGTAACTGTGACTAGACAGGCTGTGGACACTCTAAGGGAGGAGGAGGACCAGTAGAAGGCGGGAGACCAAGAACCTGCTGAAGGAGCGGAACGAAGTACGGCCGAGGCCGCGCGGCGACTCCAGACACAGCAGGGACAGCACCAGTACCCCCAGCGGCAGCACCAACACCAGCAGCACCTCCAGCTCCAGTACCTCCATCAGCACCAGGAGCACCCTCAGCAGGACCGCCTCCAAGACCAACAGCAGTAGCCTCCGCGCCAACACCCGAAACAGCTCCCGCTCCAGAAGTACCCGCAGGCCCAGCAGCTCCAGTACTCCGAGTACGAGCACCTCCGGGACCCGCGGCAGCAGCACCCACAGCAGCAGCAGAACCTCCAGTACCCTCAGCACCTCTAGCTCTAGCAGCTCGCCTCCAGAGCCGGGCAAACCACTCACGCAGCTCCTGTGGAGAGAATGGCTCCCGGCGAGACGAAGCACCCGGAGAACCGCCAGGCTCAGCACCGCCAGACGCCCCACGAGCAGGCCAAGCTCCCTCAGGCTCAGCACCTCAGGCGTAGCACCCCCAGGCTCAGTACCCCCAGGCTCAGCACCCCCAGGCGTAGCACCCCCAGGCTCAGCACCCCCAGACTCAGCACCTCCAGGCTCAGCACCCCCAATCGTAGTACCCTCAGGCT